CACTGAAGTCCAGCTCACCGGCATCTTCTGACTTTCCGTCACCACTGTGATCATTAAACGGGGGTGTGAACCCCACTAAGATCCATCCCAGGGCCCCCAGTCCTTGTCCTTCATCTCCATCTCCCAAGGAAAAGCCTCCCTTGATTCTTGGTGCCAACAGGCTCCTCCTCCCGGGACCCAGAGGCACTCACGATCTTTTGAAGCTCTCAAGGCTCTGACCAGATGAATCCTGTCGGGGTGCTGGGGACAGGTGATGGGGAAGGAAGGTAAAGACCAGGGTATCCTGTCCAGACATTCACAATCCGCGACCTCTTTGGGTACCATCCTCTAGGTCAATGCTCCCCCTTTGGGGTACCACTCCTGCAGTGGCCATGCCCCACCCTCCGGGCCAGCTGGTCCTTACTCCCCAGGGCAATCGCATTCCTCCAGCCCCTCACTAGCAAACCTTACACACTGAAGCTGCAGAACCCCAGAGACTGTAGGACCCCTGCTTGCTCCTAAACCTGCCTGTTCTATGCACCTCAACCCATACACCCAGATTCTATGTGGTAGGAGGCCGTAGCTACCCAAGCCTTCAGATCATTTACACAAATCTGGAAGCCTCCTAAGCCTTTGCATGCATACCCCAAGTTACTAAACACTTCCACCCCCAAACCTACATCTCCTACACAAAGCCTCGAGACCTTCTCTCCCTGCCCCCCCCACATTACTAGATCTATACCCTCGCCTCCAAGAGACTGTGACCGCCCCAGCTCCACACCCAGCTCAGTCTAGAAGCCCCCCCCCACGCCGCCAGAGTTCACGGCCCCACCTCCCACGCCTGCCAGCGCACCCTCCACATCCACGTTGAACGGGCAGCTGTCGCAGACATCCTTGGCTTTGACCTCTAGACGGTAATCCCCGCGGTCCCCTAAGACCACCTTCCCAATGTGGAGTTCCACGGTGTACACCTGGGGGCCAGGGGCATGGCGCTCGTGACTCAGTTTCCAAGTCTCCACCCGGCCGGCCCTAGAGCAGCGTTCTCGGCCTGGGACAGCTCACCCTCCAACTTACAGGATCTTGGCTCCCTAAGTCCTCTATTGAGGTGAGGGACACATAGCTATGCCCGGCCCACCGCTCCAGCCCGCATAGTTAGTCCACCCTATAGACCTCAGCCACCACCCGAGGCGCTGGCGCCCTCAAGGGCCAGCCCCGCCTCTGGTCCCGCTGGGGTCTCACGTTGCTGGCAGAGTCATGGGATTCGTTGAAGGTGAATCGGGCTCCGCTCTTGCTGCTGAGCTCCTGCCATTTCCCCTTGAACCACTTGATGGTGGGTTTGCCCGGGAGCTCCTTCCCGTTCACCTTGGCCAAAATCACCGTGTCCTTCCCTGGCAGAGGGAGGCAGTGAGGAACCCAGCTCTCTAGGGAGGATCCTGAGCTCAAGACCGAGCCCTCCTCCCTCAGACCCAGGGGTCCAGGCCTAGCCCTCCTCCCTCCCCTCCGATCCGGAGCCCTCCTTCAGATCCAGGGGTGCAGACTGAACCCTCCTCCCTCAGACGTGGGTTCTCCAGTGCTCACCAGTCTCCACCGACACAGAGTCCGGCTTTTTCAGGAAAACGCCTGTGGGCTCCTCTGCAGTTGGGGATTGGTCCTCAGGAGGGGCCTCTGCTCACGAGAAAGGAGTGGGGAGTGAGCAGTGGCCTAGGGGAAGCAGGGGACCTCTTGGGGAAGGGCGCTGGAGTTGGTAAGAATCCCTCTGCTCAGAAGACAGGGACTGTAGGTGTGGCTTGGACTTTTATCCAGAGGGCATAAGCTTTGCTAGGCTCTCTCAGCCCCTTGGGCCTCAGTTTCCCCATCTGTGGACCAGTAGCTTATGGCCAGTGTGTTCTTGAATGGACTTTCCGGTAAAGGACATATAAATATGGACACAGCCTTTGGGAACTGGGCAAGAATTACTTGAGACATCACTTAGGGTGAGGGGCCAGCCCAGGCAAGGTGCTGGGGAGCCAGGAAGGTCTGTGGTTCTGATTCCATGTGGGGACAGCAACAGGAAAGGGATCAGGGAAGGCTACAGCAGAGGGTCGGGGGAGACAGGGGGAGACAGGCGGCAGAGTCCCCGAGGTACCCCACCTTTGGGGGGCTCTTCAGGAGCCTGCTTAGCAGCTTCCTTTGGTGCATCCTTGCCTTTGGGGGCCTTTTTGGCTGCTGTAACACAGGAGATGTTGAGACCAGCATAAGAAGATGCTCTGTTCTCCCAGAATCCAGAATCCAGACCTGTCCTTCTTCCTCAGAACCAGGGGTCAGGCTTCAAACCTTCTCTTCCAGGCCCGGGATGAAGACCACCCTCCTCCCTCAGATGGAGGCAGTTCAGATGGTGGGGTACAGACCCCCCCATTCCAGGCATAAGTTGATCGTAACCCTGAGTGTGGCATCAGGTTCCCCCTCCCCTTGTAGCCATGCCCCAGACTCTGGCTGCCAGCCTGACCTTTCAGGTTTGGGGTATAATTAGCCCTTCCCCGGGGATGGAAACCAGACACTAGTGCTGACCACAGCAGCCTCCCATGTGGGGCAGGTCACTGACCCATGGGTCAGCTTGTGCGAGGGAGCTGATGTCCACCTCAGCCTGGCTGGGCTGACCCCAGGGGAGGGTGATACCAGGCTTTGTGTAGCCCACTTCTACAAAAAGAGAAACCCCCAGGCAACATGCAGAGTGCACATACCCCCCCCCCCCGCCCCAAGGAGTACATCTAATTGCACATAGAAAGCCAGTGCTTGCCAAGCAGAAGGAGGGTCTGGATTCCATCTCCATCATACCAGAAAAAGAAGGCTCCACCCATGGAAGAGAGACCCATAATTCCTGCACAGAAGCCCAACTTTCACACCAAGGGGATTCTCATTTTTACACAGAAAATTATCATTCCATGCGCATGGACTCCTACTGTGTCCATAGAAACGCCCCATGATCTAGGAAGCTCCCCAATCTTCACTCAGTGAAGGCTCGACTACCTCTAGGGTGTTCTCCCGCCTGGAGAGGACCCTACCCCTAAGCCGAGCCCCAGCAGGGTACAAGCAAGACTCCATGAGCCTCAAGAAAAGGAGCGCCCTAGTGTGAGAGCCCATGCCTGCCACCCAGTTCCTGCCAGCCGCCTGGGCTGCAGAGTGAGTTCGAGAGCAGCCTGGAGGGCTGGGGGAGATTGGAGGGGAGGAGAGAAAAGGAAAAGGATGAAAGTAAGGAGAGAGGGAGAGAAGGAGAGAGAAAACCAAACCCGATTTACAATTAGGCAGCTGAGATGTCTATCCAAGCTGGGTCTCCCAGTCCCAGAAGAGGGAGGGTGACTCCTGACCTACACAGACATTAGACCCCATCACCCTGCACCAGGAAAGAACCCATCTGTGCGAAGGGGTTCCTCTTCCCCACACTCTACCTAGATGTAGGAACAGGCAAAGGACCCCCTCCTCCCAGGGTAGAGACACCCCCTTGTCTGCAGCCCATCTCCCACCCCACCCCAGGAAGGTTTCTGGCCAGCCACCTGGTTTAGCCTCAGGCATGTCAGCGACCTCCTCCAACCGCAGTGGCTCTAGCCAGGCCCTGGCGGGGACAGGTGGGTCCCCAGGAGCAGGCCTTTATGGAGGCTCAAGACTCCCAGGAGGCAGCGCAGGGCCGCCCCACATTCCTCCAGCATGCTCTAAAGGGCGAGAAATAGCTAGTCGACAGAGAGGGGTGGCGGGAAGCCAGGGCCCCAGTGGGGATGGGCTGAGGGAGCCTGGACACCTGAGTCTGTGGAGATGCAAAGGTGGAGACTGCTTGACCCCAGAGGAGGGGGGTCGGGGCTCAAGGGTCGGAGGCCACAGCGGCCCAAATCCTTAGGTCCTGGAGAAATGGGGGTGGGGGAGGAGAAGGGAGCAGGGCACAAGGTGGGAGAGGGCGCTTGTGTCCCGGGGGCAAAGGAGGAGGAGAAAGGGAAGGAGGTGAAAGAGGAGGGGAGTCCTGGGTGCTGGGCAGGGAGGAGGAGGGGTGTGGGAAGGGGGCGACTAGGTCCTGGGAGGAGGATGAGAAGCAGGGCTGCGGGTCTCAGGTGCATAGGGCGCGGGAGGAGTGGCTTCCGGAAGCCTTTCTTAGCCAGCCCGAGTCAGGAGTTTTCTAGAAACCGGAGCCGGGAGAGAGTCCGGTTTCCCCGCGTAGGCAGGATGGGTGCCTGCCGGGGTAGGCGGTGTCGGCGTCCCTCCCGCCCTGTCCTGGTGCAGGTCCTCCTGGGAGTGGCCTGGCCGGCTGCCGGTCACCGGCCGGCTGCAGAGAGGCCGGGAAGGCCCTGGAGGGCTGCCCGGGCCGGCTCCTTCCCAGCACCCGAGAGCGGAGGAGGGGGAGGACGAGGACAGAGGCTTGGGGTACCAGGGGTGTGGCCGCCCAGGAGGTGTGAGAGCAAAGGACCAGGTCAGGGCCCAGGGAGCCAAGACAAGGCCCCCTCCCGCTTTTTGTCTTTCTGCGCCCCTCCCTTCTCTCCGCTAGACAAAATCCCCTAACAGCCGGAAACTTCCCCGCCTCTGGGGCACTAAGCCAACCAGCAGGCTGTGACGCCTTTGGTTGCCCGGCAAACTTCCATCTCGCTCCTGAGGGAGCAGGCAAGTTGCTCAGTGGCCCAGTATAGAGTGACACACCCCGCATCCCGGAATTCCAGAGGCTGAGCTGAGGCGGGGATTGGCGTGCCTTTCGAAACCAGTCTGAACTACAGTGTAAGAACGATCCTATCTAAACAAACAAACAAACAAAACAAGAAAACTAACACACAGAAGCCAGAGACCTGGAATGGAAGGGCGCTGGGAAGACCAGTGATGTCCCCACTCACGACCCAGGCTGGCCCACCGCCACTGTACCTCCGCCTCCATCCCTCATCTCCTCTCTTCGCCCTCAGTTTCAGCACCAGCCCTCCGGTGGAGGGGCGGGGGCAGTGCCTGATGAATGTCCCAGGACAGCTGTAACCTTGATTTAGGATTTTATTTATTAGCCATATAGGGTGACGATGTTGGTTTTTGAAGAAAGAATTTTATTTGGTGCCAGCTGAGCCTTGGCCACATGGACGTCTGGGTCTCACATGATCCCCATCCCGGCCACCTGAGGGTGAGCTCAGGTGTGACACAGGGTTATCAGGGTTGCAAGGAGGCCCTCTTTTTCCTCTTTCTCAGAGCTCAAAGCCTTGGGTTCTGGTTCTGGTTCTGTCATGAGGCTCAGTGAGAAGCTCACAGTCTAAGCAGGCTGTTTCCACCACTTGAAGGGTAAAAGACTAGGCCCCAACAGGCAGCTGAGGAAGTCAGAGGCGAGACAGGCAGGCACCGGGCAGGGTCTTGGGGCTGGTCCCAGCCTCTGGACACCAACTGTCCAGTTTCGCATTCAGATGCAGAGACTGTGGGAGAGCCCCCAGTTTGAAAGACTACTGTAAAAAAGTGTTTTCCCCTGAAGAAAACACCTGCAGAGACATCATTTGCCTGCCTTGTGGGTGGGGGGTGACCAGCTTTAGTCTGGTTAAAGATGGCATGGGGCAAGCAGGCTGTGGGAGAACATGTTTGTAATCCTAGCACTCCAGACACTGAGACAGGAAAATTATTATGAGTTTGAAGCCAGACTGGGCCACACAGAGAGACCCTGACTTAAGGGGGGGGGGAATTCATGACAGTGTCAGCAATCCGAGCACTTTGGCTAAGGCAGGAGTTCAAGGTCATCCTTATGTATGTAGTGAGTTCAAGGCCAGCCTGAGCTACATGAGACCCAGTCTCAAAATAACAGGCTGGTACTAGCCTTGCCACACCTGCATCTCTGCCATACACCCCAAACTGGCCAGGTGCTAGAATGATCCTCAAATGCAACACACAGAACTCAGTGCTGCGGAAACCCTGGGGATGCTAGACAACATCCGGGTGATCCAAGAGCCCCACCCAACAAATCACCTCAGACATGGATCCCAGAGGGTCCCAAGGGATGTATGGCCAAGGCAAGAGGGTCACCACTAACTTCGGGACAGCCTGGATTACAGAGTAAAACTTTGTCTCAAAAAGGAAAAGCCTGGTGTGGTGGTGTGCACTAGGGAGGCTGAGGCAGGAGGATTGCCACAAGTTGGGGGCCAGCCTGAGCTACACTGTGACACACTGTCTCAAACAAAGGCGCAGGGCTCTCAGAGGGCTGCAGACATAAAGACATAACTAGATCTCAGTTCTGACAAGGGCCTCAGGGCAGCACAGAGGGACCCCCACCCTCCCACTCAACACACACACTCACACACACACACTCACAAACACACAAACACACACTCATACACACACTCACAAACACACTCATACACACACTCATACATGCATACACACACAAACACACACACAAACACACACAAACACACACACAAACACACACAAACACACACACAAACACACACAAACACACACTCATACACACACTCACAAACACACACTCATACACGCACTCACAAACACACACAAACACACACTCATACACACACTCATACATGCATACACACACTCACAAACACACATACACACTCATACACACTCACAAACACACACCCACTCATAACACACACACAAACACCCACTCATACACACACTCACACACGCCCACACACTCACACTCTCACACACTCACAAACATACACACTCATACACACACTCACAAACACACGCGCATACACTCACATACATAACACACACACACAAACACACGCGCATACACACACACACACACACACTTTGGGGGTGGCTTTCAGCGCCACCTGCTGGTGCAATGACGAGTGTCATCACAGGGCTGGCAAGAAGTACCAATGTGGATTCCTTCTGGGAATTGAAAGGCAAACACCACCAGGGACCCCCCATGGAGAAACCTGCCATTCTAGGAGCATGAGACATCCCCCTCAAACACAGGACCATCCTGGGGAATCCCATACATGGCCCGGGGGACTCTGAGGAGGCCCTGGTGAGAGCTGAGGACCCTGGCAGCCTACTGCCCCATGCGGGGCTCCAGGGGCGCTGGGGCTGGGGTCAGGAAGGGGTCCTAGAGGGGCGCTCAGGCGCGCCGGGTGGCTGGTAGCAGCGCGCTGTCGAACTGGTAGGTGAGCTTGCGTTTCACCTTGCGGATTTCGCCTGTCTTGGCATAGTTTCGCAGCGCACGCGCCAGCTTCTGGTACGTCATGCGTTTGCGATTGCCCTTCTGCTGGCCCCAGCGGCGAGCCAGCAGCTCCTTGTGCTTGGAGGAGAACTGGAAGACGCCGGCACCTGGCTCCACCCACCACACGCACTCGCGCATGTCCCCGCGCAGCAGCAGTCCCAACAGGAACTGGTACAGGCGCAGCTTCTTGCGTGCACCTGCAGGGTTTGGGGTATCCACGTTAGGAGGGGAAGTCCGTTGAAGGGACCCCAGATCTGCAACCCCCCCCCGACACACTTTAATTTTCACAATTGAGTCAGGCCTAATTGGCTCGAACCTATTGTTCTAACTACTCTAGAGACCGAGAAAGGAGATCACAAGTTCAAGACCAGTCTGGACAACTTAGTTGAGACTGTCTTCTAAAGAGGGCTGGGGCGGGCTCGGTGATGGAGCCGCTTGTCTAGATCCCCACAGCGAGGGCCTGGGGAGTGAGGCAGTATAAGATAGCAGGTTTTCTATCTGGAAAACTGATGTCCAACAGAGAATAACTTGATTGAAGGGCTGTCACACACAGAGGTACAGGACTGGCTGTGGGAGGGTATCATGCTTCCTTTTTGCTGTTACTGTGCTTTTGTCCACAATGAAAACCAAGGCACAGAGAGGACAATGCCCTTGGCCAAGGTCACACAGCCAACAACTCCTTGGGATTTGGGAACTTCCCTGGGAGGGATTAGTACATGCTTAGAGAATCCTGGCTCCTTCAGCCCCTTCCTCACCCACAGTCGGTAACCTCACCAACTCCCCACCCCACATACCTGCCTCGGATCCCCTCCCATCCGAGCCAGCCAAGAGGGCCTCGTCTGACTCACTGTCCGAGACCTCCAGGGCAGGGCTGTCCAGCAGAATGTCTTCCTCCTCTGACAGCACAGAGCTGGGGTACGGAGCATTAGCCAAGGGGCCCAGGGTCTATGGGAGACCAGCGTCACCTGCACACCTCTCCCTCAGCCTCCCCACTTCTGAAGCCTTCACTACTTGGGTCCCCCATCTCCTGGTGCAGCATGGACACTGGCCTTGGTGATCTCAATATGCGGAGAAGTTAAGGCAGTTGCTCAAAGCTACACGGCCAGTAGATGGCCTGGATCCGGGCACTGCCCTCTGAACTGGAGCTCAGGGGACACCTGAGCTACCTCAGGAAGGTGCCCTTGTGTCCCCCACCCAGGAACAAGCCAGAAGTTCATTTCAGAGAGTTGCAGGAGAGACATGAGGTGAGAAGCCTCCCTCCAAGCTTTCCCTGCCCCTCACCTGACTGACGAAGTCTTCTGAGGGGTACACCTGGAGGCCAGGCCCTGGAGCCTCCAAGCTGGCGGCTGGGTCTAGGGTCCCCACAGGGCTGTAGGCAGAGGAGCTTAGACCATGACCGTAACAGAGCTGCACAGCTTGGGAGTGGGCAAAGGCAGCCGTAGCAGGATCGAAGACTTCATAGGGGGTGATGGTGGGGGCGGGCGGGGCCTCTGTCCAAACCCATGTGGAGTCTGGAAGAAGGGGTCAGAGTCAGTAGCTAAAGGTGGACAGAAGACCTGCACCCTCAAGATCCCACACAGAGGGGCCTTTGTAAGTTGTGCAAATCTCTGACCCCAGAATTTGCATGGGGGAACAGATGGATTGGAGGGGGGGTAGGGAGGCGGCTTGGGGAGGGGCTGCTATGAGGGAGGGCTCCCATGGGCCTCAGCTCTCCCACAGTGAACTGAGCCCAAGGTGCTAGGAAGCTAGGGTCACTCACCAGAGCCCCCATCTGAATCTGGGTAACTGAAGGGCTTGCAGCTGTCCAGGTCATAGAAGACACCTTCTGGGTACTGCTGGAGTGGGGGACACAGTTATCCCAGGCCTTGGAGGCCCCTCCCTCCCCAACCTTTGGGAAGACTGACAGGTGAGGGCAGGGAGGGGCAGACAAGGGCAGAAACAGAGAGAGACAGAGACTGAACCCACGAGTGACACTCAGAAGCTAGCATCTGCCATGGCTGTGACGCTCAAGGAACCCAGTAGTTTCCAGGAACTCACTCTGTAGCCCAGGATGGCCCAGAACTTGGAGCAATTGTTCAGGCTTATCCTTTGAGAACTGGGATGATAGGCACGCATCACCCTCTTTAATCCAGCCATCAATTGTGTGTTGCTCGAGCCACAGCCATTGTAGAGGCAGTGAGGACCAGAGCTGAGTTCATGAGTGCTGCCCACTGACTGCAGCACACACACACACCCTCCTCCTGTTCACGCAGGGAAGATGGAAACCTGATGCACAGAGCGAGCGGCCTGAGGCAGCTCTGCTCTGACCCCAGACCACAAGCTTCTCAGCAAGAAGCAGGATAAACAAGCTGTGGGGTGTACTGGTGGGTGGCAGACCATGAAACAAAGGCAAAGGACAGGTACCTAACTGGATGGAAAGAGGTCGGGTGCCCAAAAGACCTGAGCAGGAATCACTTAGTGAAAACTCCAAATGAATCAGTGTATTTTGAGTGGGATTGAGTAGGAGGGGACACCAAGGAATGTTCTAGAATGACGGAATTTTTCAAGATCTGGGTCTGGTAATAGCTACAGGGGTGTACACAACGAAGACACTCACTGATGCACACACACAAGACATCAGTTTTAAACAACCAACAGCAGGTGTCTTACAGTTACAATCCCCAAGCACTCTGAAGGCTGAGGCAGGAGGATCAAGAGTTTGAAAACAGCTAGGGCTACATTGAAGAGCATTGCCTCAACACAAAACAATACAAATAAATAAATAAAAAGCCCAACAAAATTCAAAGAAGCAGGGGCTTCTTGCCACCACAGGAAAAATCCCATTGTTCGGTGGTGAGCCCAAATATGTTGGAGAAAATAGTTGGTGTCCGAAATGTTATAGTTAAAAGATGTAAGATCCATAACCCAAAAGGAGCTGTACACGTAAAACATGGAATAGACAGGTATACAAGTTCAAGGGAGTAGCGTCAAGTTGTAGAAAAAGAACAGGGAGGTGAGATGGGGGTCTGGGGAGACAAAGGCTGGAAACTGAGGCCAGAAGTAGGTGATCTTAGTAAGGTTAGTCCCCATGGACCACGAAGGGGCCCGCTACCCCCCTGAGGCCTCCAACTCACCAAACAGCTCAAGTGTGGACCATCCAGCCTGGCAGGGGAGAGACACAGGGGCATGTTAGGGCTGCCCTCAGCCACCTGAGTCTCAAAGTGGTTGTGGGGCCCACAGGGGAGGTGATGGCAGCTGTGACCCACCACAGCTCTGCAGTCTGCTGGCTGTTCTTGTGTGCGCCCAACCTCCCCACAGTCACCCCCACACCCCCATCGGGACAGGAAGTAGGGGGCGGGTGTCAGGCAAATGTCCCCCCACTCCCCCTGGGATTTGCATGCGCAGACACAGAGGGGAGACAAGGAAAGTTAGAAGGAGAAAGTCCCCAGGCAGCTGGGGACAGGGTGGCCAGAGAGCTCGGTTTGGGTATCTTAGCAAGTCCAGCGGAGACCACAAGCAGCAATAAACTGGAGAGCGGGCTAGACGCAATGAAAGGGAGTGAGCAAAGGACTGGCTTCCTTGCACCGTAGCGCGGGCGGCCAGAGTAGTACCAGAAGCCAAAGGGGACAGTTGTGCAGAAGGAAATAGACAAAACTCAAGGGGCAGAAGGCGCCAGAAACGCGATACTAGGCAGGTGACAGGTGGGTAGGATGGGGGTGAGTGTCTCCAGAACATGCCATCTCTGGAAACCCGTCTAGGGAGATAGAGCCGATGGAGAACTGTCCTCCGCAGACAGTGGGGCCACCCCCTTACCACCTGCCTTGAGGACCACGGAAGTGGAGGGGGCTGAGCGGGGTGAGGGTCCCAAGCCCAGGTTTGGGAGTTACCCACTTACTGTGCAGCTTCCAGGGCAAGCATGGTGGCTCAGGGCAGGCTGGGCCGCCTCTGCCACCACCCCTATATATACTCTGGCCCAGCCCCCACCCCCCCAGGGGCGGGCCATGGGGGCCCTCCTCAAAAATCCCCTTGGGGAGGGGTCTGGATTGCACAACCCTCTGGTCATGTGGCAGCGAGGGTGGGCCTAGGAGCCATTTGGATTTGGGGTTCCCCACCACCGAGGATGGAGGGCTGACACCGAGGGGTAGGGAGAGTTGCTGAGAAAGGGCAAGGAGTAAGGCCCTGAAATAGGACACCACAGGAGGCAGCCGATGGTGCCAGGGGCAAGAGGGTATGGGGCAGTGTCGCCCAGGGGCAGGGTGAGGGCAGGGGACCTCCCAAGAGCCGAGGGAAGCCCAGACGGACCGACCACCAGGACCCCACGGTGGAAGTACAGTGCCAGGAAGGGTCCCCTTGCTGCCCTGAGGTGTGGAAGCCTGTGTGCCAAGGGGAATCAGGACAGCACCCAGCTGGGCTACCACCAGCCCCGTGGGGAGGAGCAAAGCCGTGCGGTGGGGTCCTACTCAGGGGTTCAAAGGGAAACTGAGATACCAGCCCTGTGTGGGCACAGACAGGCACCGAGGCCCCTGGGGCTTGTATTGTGCCTGAGCCACGAAACCCAACCCGTTCCCGGAGACCACAACACACAGCCAGTAGCAAAAAGTCTGAACTTTATTCCCTGTCCCTCGTCAGGTCACCAAGCCTCGGGGCCCGGAGGTCCAAAACGCTGCAGCAGGCGCTCCTGGTCCTCCAGGTCCTTGCGCACTTTTTTGCGCATGTAGAAGATGGGACAGTCGCGACTGCGAAGGGGGCGGTCAAGGGCCGGTCAAGGGCCGTTCCCAGGACTTTGGCCCCTACCTGCTGCCCACCCAGGGGAGGGGGTTGTTTGCTTAGCGGGAAGCCGATAACAGCAATGCCCGGAGAGGTAGCCAGCCCTATATCAGCTGTCACCTGTCGTGGGAACCCGCCCCGCCCGCCGGTTCGTTCCCTGGGGAAAGCCCGGCCCCACCCTGGGGGAGGCTGGGCGGATGCCTAGCCCAGGCAGACCCTGCCCACTCTCCAGTGAGGTCTCTCGGCTGGGTCGGGGGGTGGGGGGGGGGGGGGGCGCACCTGGTACAGATGACATCCTCATGCAAGCTACCCTGGCAACGCTGGCACTGTGTCCAGAGGCGTGAGAAGCGTTCCTCCAGGGCATTCAGGTGTGACACCTGGGGGACACAATGGGTTGAGCAGGGCTGTGAGGATCAGGCTTGCCCCAGCTACAGCCTCAGCCTCACTCACCTCCTTCTGATAGAGCTCCGACTCCCGTGGCTGGCAGAATTCACACACAGCTCCTGCAGGAGGGGTGGGTGTCGGCTCGGACACACCGGGACAGAGCCAGGCCCTAGCCTACATCCCCGCCTGTCTGCCCTTCTCCACCGGCTGCCCATCCCGGCTTCTGAAAGTCCCCTGAGGCTGGAGAACAAGGGCCCAACTGTGTGGGGAAAACTCCCTGGGGAACCCCGGAGTGGGCGAGGACCCTCCACCGGAGTGCACAGGCAGCATGGATCTCGGGGCAAAGCCCCAGGAGCGAGCCTAGGAGCTGTGGCTTGGGTCTCACCCTGATGGTTGATCACGGAGCGGCAGCCAATGCAACAGTTGCGGCGCTTGGTGAAGGCCAGGAGGCCACCAACCTTGCTGGTGAGCACGGTTTTGCAGCGTGTGTGGTCACCTCCTACAGGAGAGGATTTGATGGCCTCGCCCCTGCCCCTTCCTCGCCCACGCTCCCTCCTCTGGGCCCCACTTACGTAGCAGCACAGACTCTGCACGGCCCTCACCCAGAATGGGCTCAAAAATGCGCAGGAGTGGCTTGGCCAGCTGCTGCTCCAGGTAGTACTGAGTGTCGATGGGCAGGCTGTGCTCCAGCACAAACAGGGGGTCCTGTGGGCGGGCAGGCTGCGGTCACCAAGGGCCGCAGAGGGGCACGCACTAGGGCGGGAGCTATGGCCACTACCAGCAGGTTGTGATGAGGGATGTACCCAGGGGATGTGACTCTGGCCTGGGTATGTGTGTGTGTGGGGGGGAGTTCTCAGGTCACTAAGAGTCAGTTTCCCCGCGTGAGATGGAGGGGCCGAGGAGGGGGTGCAGGGGTCGGAAGTTACAAGGCTGAGAATTGGGTGGCTTAAGATGATAAGAGCAAACAGAGGAGCTGGCACCCAGGGCAGGCAGGGGCGGAGATGGTACAGCAGCCAACTCTGTACAAGGAGGCACTGCAGTCAGGCCCAGGGGCTGGACCGCCCAGAGGAAAGCAGAAGTGAGATTCTGGGGGAGGGGCACAGCCCAGGTGGGCCTGACCTCGGACTTCATGTAGGCAGCCACGCCTTTGGCAGCACCGATGATCACATAGGGGACGCGGTCACCCAAATTGGGCGCACTGCCGGGGTCACGCTTCCTCATCCTGCGGACGGGGAGGTGGGTGAGGTTTGGGGAGGGCTGAATGGTCCAGCTGCAGGAGGCTGTAACTGCCTACCTCTCAGCCAGTTCCACATGAGCCTGCTTGCCGGCGTAGTCCGCCGCGGCACGGGTCAGCTCCTTGGTGATGACCAGCTGGGAGATGTCTATGCGGTTGCACAGCAGGTCTGAGATGACATCCTTTGCATGGGCGACTGCACCATCAGGGTCCCTGAGGGTGTCACCAGGCACTACTAAGGATGGGGCTGTGTCATCAGCTGGGAGCTAGAGATCAGGCACTATGGGCTAAGTGCAGAGGCAGGAGAGGCCAGAGGCAATCATGCACCAGTGCTCCACCATCCAGCCAAGACACCCGTGTCCCCAGGGCAGGGTGTTGGGTCCCCGGGTCTGAGGGAGGCTGGCTTCTTGGGCTAGGTGAGACAAACACACACACACACACACCGGTCCACAAGGATTCGTCGCAGAGAGGATGTGATGAGGTTGGCCACCAGGGGACAGTTGTCCCTACGCACAGCCTCCAGACCCTTGCAGTCCATTCTGTCATGGGTGTCAGGCTGCGAGGAGAAGAGTAGGCCAGCATAGCGCTTCTTGCTGATGAGCAGGTATGGGAAGTAAACCTGGAAGGGGCCCATGGGTGGTGAGCGGTGTACTCTTACACACCCCCAATCCTGAGACCCATCAGAAGCAGGACAGGAAAGGGGCCCCTGACCTTGGTGAAGTGAACCCTAAGGAGACCTGATACCCTCCAGCACCCTAGGAGCCCTACTGGACATCACACCGTAGGCCTAGAGCTGGCTCCTAAATCATGGAATTCAGACAGGCAACACAGTTAAGTCTCAAAGCCACTGGAGGAGAGAGACCAAGTGAGTCCAGAGCTCAGGGTGCATGAGTATCGCAGGATCTGTGCACACCACTGGTTTGTGTGTGCTGGAGGGGGGCTCAAACCTCAGAACCAAGAACACTGGGCTTCTGTGTTCTAAAAAGGGAAACCCAAGAAACTCATGCAAGTGGGGAGCAGGCAGAGAACAGCAGGCTTCCCACACTACTGCAGTACCAGCCTCTGCAGGCACACAGTAGTAAGAGACCATCGTTAACTGCCAAGACCCCTACCGTCTCCACTAAGCTGAGTGAGGGGACACACGCACCTTCTCAAACTCCAGCCGGATGGGTGACGGGAAGTGACTGGACACCCAGTTTGCGGCCTCCCGACCCAGAGACATTGCCTCAGCCACAGAGGAGACACCAAATCGGCACATCACAGAGTCGGTGTCGCCGTAGACCACCTGCCAGGGTACGTGTGAGAGGGATGTCTGTTCTCAACCCAGAGCCTGCCAGGGTGGACAGCCCAAGGACCTGGAGGATAGGCAGGTCTGACCAAACCGACCTTGGCGTTGGCACCGTAGCCATTTTCCAGGGTGTACTTGGACTCCACTAGCTGCTTGGTTTTCTCAATCATCTGACGCCCGAACCCAGTGACGCTCTGTTGGGGGCAGAGCCAAGGAGGGTGAGGACACAGAAGCTGCATGCAGTGGAGGCAAACACCTCTGCCGCTTCCAGGCATCATGACCACGTGTCTAAGTCTATGTACAGGCGACTGCTGCTCCAAAGTGTCACGTTCTCAGAGACTAGGGACCACTCTCTCCCGGTCTCACACACAGTAAGCAGGGGCTCTACCACTGAGCTACACCGTCAGGACTGTCTGTATTTCAAGATGGGCCTAAGTCCCTGAAGCCTCATGAGTAGACAGGGAAACAGGACCACACCACCACATCCTCATCTGTCTCCTCTTTACAAACGAGGATGAGGCCGGCTGGCCTGTCATGGGAGAATGCTCTCTGATTGCCTGGGTTTCATGTGGTCATAAGGACATCTGAGAAATCCACACCCGACTTGTCCTTTGTCCATCTGCTCTTGTTTTCTTATTTTATTCTGGAATGACTCAGTAGCTCGTTATCCCACCATAAGATGCCACGAGACACAGGATTAACAGGGGCTCCTTTGGCCTAAGGTCCCAATGCCCACCCCATCCCTAGGGATGCTAAGAGTGGACACACAGGGATAAGAGTGTCAGGCAGACAGGCAGAGGCAGGTCTGGCTGAGGCCTGGCGCATCCTTCCAGGCAGTCAGCTTCCCTGAGCCCTTGAGCCACGCCGGAGAACTACGCTCACAAGGGGAGCTGACAGGGACCCGGGGCCACACATGCTTGGTTTGAACCTGGGATCAGGACAGCTGGAGACTGAGTAAAGAGAGCTTGTCAGTCACAGCCTCCATGGCCTCGTAACCCATCCTGTTACCTGCCACCTTGCTCTGGACATCCCCTAGGCAATGCTCCTGAGACGTCACTTCTCACCACTGGGGAACCAAGCACAGGCCGTGGCCTGACTGAGTAGCAGCCCTCAGGCTGAACGCTGGGTTGCCACGTTGGTAGGTGTGGAGATGGGGCAGTTCTTTCCTATTCCTGTCCTAGTACCTACCCAAGATCTTCACACTTGTGGATGTCATCAAGTGACCCAGCAAATCCATCCTGGCTGCGTTCT